CAGGGGTTGAAGGAGCCTCGGGATGTCCTCGATGGCTCTTTGGCACCGCTCAGCCACCTCATGGGCACTGAGGCTGGCAGGACCACCAGGGAACAAGAACTTGATGATGTCTCGAACTGTCTCTGCCAGGTGATCATTGGCCAGGCAGGCGTTGGCCTCCCACAGCCGCTCGGCGTCGGCCACCTTGGCCACCATGTCCTCGGGGACATCAGGAGACGCCTCATTTGTCTCCTTCAGGGCGGCCTCGATGTCCCTGAGCAGGCGCTGCAGCTCCCGGGGGAACGCGGTGGCTTCGTCACATGCGGCCACCAAGCGCTCCAGCAGCCCCAGGGCCACCCCTGCCTGCTGTCTCTCCATGGTGGCCCTTGTTGCCTGGCTGGCAGACACCTTGATCTCCCTCCTCACCCAAGCTTCATACCCGGCCACCACCTTGGCCCCCTCCTCCCTGCCCAGGGCCTGACCCAGCTCTACAATATTTTCCTGAGCTGTCCCATAACGGGCAGCCTCGTCCTGTAGGGCCCTGGCCCGGGCGGTGTAGAAGGCCGCCCTGTCAGCCGCATCAGTGACCACCTCCTTCCAGGTGTTGCGGAGCTTGGTGGCCTTCCTGGCCAGCTCGGCCCAGCTGTTCACTGGCTCATCCATCGATCGCTGCCACTTGCTGGCCACCATTATCACATCATCCCAGGTGGTCCATGGGATGCTCTTGTAGGCAGCCAGGGCCTGGCTCAGGGAGGTGAGACGGTCATCATCATTGGAGGTGACATTGCGGCAACACCAGGTGGCATCAGTGTGGTACAGGGTGACCCAGAGATCCCTGGTGAATTCCTCCAGTTCCTGGTACAGGCACCCTGGGGACACCAGCAGCATCTCCCCATCCAGATTGGGCAGGGTGGCCAGCAACTCGCCCACGATGGCCACGACAATGACCTGTGGCTGCAGCAGGGCCGGGGACAGCTGGGGAGAGGACAGGGGAGGTGTCAGGAACCTCGTGGCACTTACAGCCTCCTGGAGTGGCCCCAGTGCCCTCCCAG